GAACCCTAGCACCAGTCTACAACAGCTACATCCGCATCATATCTGGTCTGCTGCCATCCACTCCAGCAGACGCCGCATGCATCGAAGCGGGTCTTCTTCCTTTCCGGTTCTGCTTAAAAGCAAATATTGCCATAAAAGGCGCCGCCTTTTCCGCCAAGACCTCCGGAAACAATAGGATCTTTCTCCTCGACGAGGGGAACAGAGTCCTCCGCACGGCCGCCGACATCGACCTCCCCCCAGTGGCCAAAGTCCATTGGCATGGAGAGAAAAGTTGGCACTCTTCACGAATCCAATTGGACAATCGGATCAAGAACCGCTTCAAAGCAGGGGATGCATCCATCATTTTGCGCAGATCGGTCGCCGAGTTACTTGGTTCCAACTATGCCGACCACGTACATCGGTACACCGACGGCTCCCGATCGATAAACGGAGTAGGTATCGGGATTTTTGGAGACGGTATTGCTGAAAGCAGCAGTCTTCCTCCACAATGCTCGGTTTTCTCGGCCGAGGCTGCAGCGATCTTCCGTGCCGCTATGACGCCAGCCAACAAACCGATACTTATATTAACTGACTCACACAGCGTCGTTCAAGCAATCACCTCGGAAGCACCAAAACACCCATGGATCCAGGCGATTATCAAGTACGCCCCACCGAACACCGTGTACACATGGATTCCCGGACACTGCGGAGTGCCAGGTAACGAGTCTGCTGATCACCTTGCCGGAGCCGGGACATCGGGTCCCAGACTCACCAACAAGGTACCCCTACAGGACGTCAGACGGTGGATCATGCGGACCATTCGAGCGACATGGGAAGCTGAGTGGTTCCGCAACAGAACTGCCTTCATCCGCAAAGTAAAAGGGTCAACTGAACCATGGAGAGAACTGGACAACCTGAGGCATCAACGCGTGATTTCGCGGCTTCGAACCGGGCACACTAAACTCTACTATAACTATGGTGGCCTGCCGTTCCGCAGAAGCTGCATCATCTGTGGGGTACCCTACACCGTCGAACACATCCTGTGCAACTGCCCGGAATTCCAAAATCTTCGGGAGTCACTCTGCCTAACTTCCAGCATCAGCGATCTGCTCGGGAATGACACTTCGGTCTCGGCAGCACTAGTAACCTTCTTAAAAGAAACCAAAATCTACCACTCGGTATAGCAGGAATTTCTTTCGGCCGTCGGGACATCTCAGCTGGATGGATTTCCCCTATTGGACCCATGCCAGCTGAGCTCTGTTTTGTTTGGATTAATCGTTTGTAGCTTGTCTTAAATCATTTTGTTTTCTGTTGTTCTTCTGTTTCATTATTTTATATATTGTTATTTTTTCATAAAAGTTGAAGAGCCAGCAACCAAAGTTATTAACTAAATGTACCATGTATCTAGAGGTTACTCACTCTGAGCCCTCTCCTTTCTTCGGAGATGAACTAGCCATAGGCTAAAAATCTCCTTAAGGGGGTATTCCCAATCTTTTGCCTTTTTTCGGCCTGTTTTTCAATTAATTTTTTCCAAGGAAAATGAATAGTAATGCGCCTAACTCTTTGGGATTCTTGTTTATTGAACATTAAAGTTTACAAATAAATTTTTTTCGACATAAAAAAAGACATTATTGACGTCACAAAATGGTGGCAAACAGACCCCTGTTCGCCGCAAACGCCTGGACGGGCGAAGACTTTTCTCTGGAACGGCTTCATCTGAAACAGATTTCGTGATGAAATTATAATCTGCATAAGATTCTCTGGAGCTTCTCCCGTTGGCAGCAAAAAATCTTGCAAATTAACAAAATGGCGGCCATATGAAAAAACAGGCGATTTTTAGCCCGCTTTTTTGCAGCTTTAAGGTGCTTAAAACAATGTTAAATGTTAATATTTTTGACTGAAAGTGGGAGAAGCTCCAAAGAATTTAATAAGGAACAAAATGCGCAAAGATTCAAGTCAATATCTCTTATAGTTTCTGAGAAAAATCTTCGCCCGATAAAAAAAATGTGGTTTCGAGAAAAACGCGTTTAAAGTTTTGACTTTAGTTAAAACCATTTGGGGGTTCTTACCATTAGTCAGCTATGCCTGGACACCGAATTCGCTGATCGGAAAACGGCTTGGGGGGATGAAAGTATATAGTCTAAAGTACAAAAAAACGTGAAAAAAAAAATTTGATTTTTTGAAAAAAAAGATCGGGAATACCCCCTTAATAAAGAACTAAAAAAAAAAAAGCTAATTAAAATGCGTCTTAGCACACGGACGCCTGATATTAAAAGAGGCCGATTTTGGGCAATTGCCGTTCTTCTCCCCAATTTTTTTTCATCCCGTCATCCTAGTTTTCTATAGTTGTTTGTAGTTCTATTGTGGACATAACGCACAACATTTTCACAGCGGTACAGAACCCTATCCCTTCTGTGGTATACTGCTGTTCTTGCACAAGAAACGTGAAGGTTCTGAATATATAATATAAATGACAAAAATCTATGAACTTGTGACCAAACGGTTACAGAGTAGAGTGAAAGAGATAGAACCAAAACATTCTAGTACATTTGGTGAAAATACTAGTACAATCCAATAGTAGCGTATTATCATCGAGGTAACTCTAAGACTAGAAGGTCCCGAAGAAACGTGCTCAACTTTTTGGCTCAGCTCTGGTACTGTCTTCGGTCCCAAGCTAAACGATTCACCCCTCGAAACATAGGAAAAACCACTAACCCCTCTGATCGCGCACGGGCGGGATCCTACGTTGTGTTTATGATCGTTGTGATAGGTACGGAAATGAAATTAATAAAACACACAGTTTGCTTGACCGTCCTGCCATGGCGGAGGTATTCGAGATACTGATATATTGTTTATTTGTATTCGTTTGTATAGTAGCTACAGTGGGTAGGGTAGTTGTACATGTAGATGACGTTGCACAAACACCCTCATTTTATCTGTCAAACTTTCATAGCGAATCAAAACAAACATAGTGTAGTACTAGAATTTTGACTAGAATGGGGTACGTTAATCGATTAGCTTGGGACCAATAGGCTAGTCAAGTAGTGAGCCAATTTAAAATAGTTAGTTTCGTATTGATTGTTGGTACCAGAGCTGAGCCAAAAAGTTGAGCACGTTTCTTCGGAACCTTTTGATCTTAGAGTTACCTCTATGGTACACGCAGAAACACTGAAGCTTAAATTAACAAAATATTTTGTTATTATTAAATACGAAATTTCTATTTGTTTCAGTTAACTAAAAAGATTCAAATGAATGCAGAAATTCATCGGAAGCATTCCAAGTCGGCGCCGGTGGTGTAGTGGTAAGCGTGACTGCTTTCTCACCCCAATGGGTCTAGGTTCAATCCCAACCGAGGTCAGTGAGATTTTTCTGAGGCATAAAAATCTCTGGTCACGACTTCCTTCGGAAGGGAAGTAAAGCCGTTGGTCCCGGCCCATGTGTGTTGAATGAGTGCAATATTGTGGAAGCTGCTGCCTTTCTGCACATTCGATTGCCGTCATTTGGAGTTGTGACTAGTTGGTCCACCGGAAGATACAGAGCTTCCGTATAAGCGGTATTAAGGAATACACGTACCATATGGGATTAAAGCTTATTGGGGACAAACTCTTATTGTAGGGTAATTTGAAGAGATAACTTCAGGGTGGCAAGTAAATTTCCATTTTGAAATTCCTGGTATTTTCCTGGTTTTCCTGGTCAATGATTTAAAAATTTCCTGGTTTTAAAAACCATTTATTTAAAAAAAAAAAATTAATTAAAAAATAAAGTGAATCCTTGTACCATCATTCTTCGCGCAATGCGAAATTTCACAAACCAAAATAGGTATGAAGGTTCTTGTGAATGCCCGTGAAATCTTTATCTGATTGTTTGCTGTATAGAGAAAGGAGCCGCGCTACTTCATGGCGCCTATTTCCGTTCTATGTGCTAAAACTATAATAGCAAAGCGTTTTCACTCATATTTTTGCAAAAACATCGTTGCTTACAAGATTAATTACGATTGACACTGAAACATTTGCGATAACCTGTAAAATGAGCGATTTTATGAGTGTATGACGAAGAAAAGCTGAGATACGACGGACTAGCGCGGAGCCCTATCTAATGTCTGAAATTTAGAGATCTATAAGTCCCTAAATCTTGAGACTTCTGTTTTTGAAACTGCGATTTTTTTAACTTTATTATTGAGATTTTTAGCCAACGGGCTAGTTTATCTCATGGTGAAATTGCGAAGTGTGATATGAATGAGGACTCTTTAAACAAACCTTTGCTTCTAACAATTTTACGGATTTCCAGTTTGTTTAAATTTTCCGCAAATTGTCAACGATTAAGGATCTTATTTAGCGGAGTTTTGATTACAACATGATTTCAAAATCATATGATTAAAAGATTTCATAAGGAACGCTGGTTTGATAACTCTTATTATTAAAAAGACTGACTGCTGAAGTTCATAGAAACTCCCTAAGGTTCGTAGAACTTCTCTGAAGCGTTAAGGTCTTTCCTGAAGGGTTCATTGAAGTTTGTTTTGCCTGAATTTCATGGGACTTCCCCGAAGTTCGAAGGACTTTTTTAAGATCTTAAGACTTCCCTGAAGTTCGGAGTTTTTTGAAATTCATAGGAATTTCTTAAATATCGTAGAAGTACCACGAAGTTCGTAGAAATTCTCACAAGTTCGTAAGACTTCCTTCAAGTTCGAAGAACTTTCTCGAAGATCTAAGGACTTCCCTGAAGTTTGAAGGACTTAACTGAATATATAAGGACCCTAAAGGGGAAATCTTCCCCTTCCTGACGATGCTGTTGGTTTGCGTGGGTGTACTTCGAGTAGCGAGTAAAGGGCCCACAAACCATTTGTTTACAAATGGCTTTTGCGCCGTTTTCAAATATTAGTACTGAATTATTAATTCTAATAAATCCGGAATTGTAATTTTGCATACGAAAATGTTGTTTTATGTTTTATTATATTATTTTATGTTCATTTAGAATTTTGTGAAAATCAACTACAACCATTTTACAATCCTACTTAGACTCACCTCTTTAAAAATATATATGTACCCTTCTTTGGAAGAAGGGTTTAAATGCGTATAAATCAACACAGTTTATCCTTAACGGCTAAAATACAATATTACAATACAATCGAGATTAAAATTTGTGCTTTGCTTCACGTTTCTTCTATACACTATTTATGAACACCTAACACACTGGTAAAACCGCCAACACTGCCACCGTTTGTTGTTAGTGGATTCTTTCTTGTTGCTGATATCGATGGTTGATGATTCTTATTGTTTACATTTTAACACTATAGTATACGCATCTATGTATGTGTACGTTGTAGGTTTGTTTGAGAAAAAAAACGCAGCCTAATCACTCTTCAACTTCAGTAAACAGCATCCATGTTTCGGTAAATATCACAAACTTTTTCGCCAAGATCTTCTTTTATAAGTTAAGTGGGAAACCTACATGGGAGGACTCCCGTTTCCGGGAAGGACAGACACCGAAAAAAAAAACATTCACTGCACTTGACCTCCCCTGGGGCCGTCGCGTGTGTGCGTTTGTGTGTGTGGATATGGCTGGATGAAAGGATGTGAAGGAATTCCCTTTAATTCCACAGGACGCAGTTTTTCAGCAGCATATTTTCCGCTATTTTCGGCGTTCAATTACACTAGCAACGCGCGTAGTAAGCTGGCACCGGAACGGAAACCTCCAATGTACATTTGCGGGAGCGATTCCGTGCCCCGCGAAACCAAAACGGGCACTTTTCACCGGTTTTTAACTGGGGATACCGACCAAAACGCGAAGCGACGACCGAAAGAAAATTCGCCTTTTGAAGGCTGAGTGATGGAACGGGAGTGACGTTTATCGTTGTAGGAGCGGAGCAAAGTATATTGGATTTATGGCGGTAGTGTGGTATTAGCAAAAACGGTTTTTAAAAACATAATTTGTTAGCAAATGGACTTTAATTTTGTATTGTTTTGAATTTTAATAATTTAGTTTTGAACCTAATATTAGTTCGCCAGGAGTTTTTTTATGAATAAATCATCATGTTTCAAGATTAAATCAATAATGTGGTGCCAATTTCAAAATAAATTCAAAGTAGGAAATCAAATTTATTAATAAAACTAGCATCATCGGCATCAACTCGACTCCCTCGGCTACATGACATGGGTTGAAATAATCATAGCCCTTTGCAACTGTCGATCAGTGCAATCAATATTAAAATTTTGTTTTATCCTTCAGCATTCTGTTATTTTCGTTATTATAATATTATAACGATAATAACTGAATGCTAAAGGATTATTATAATAATTTATTGCGCATTTCACACAAACTGGAGAAAATTTAATAACCGCGTAACAGAAAAGCTTGTTTTCTGAATCTGCAAATTTCCATTTCAACTTTGTGAACTAATCGAACATGTTCAGAGTTCAGACAAAAGTCTTTTGTTATTGTAAACAATGCTCGGTCCCGATCTGGATCTGGTAGTGCAAGTCTCGCGCGATGATAGTGCAATGCGAAAGTGGCATTCAATAGAAGAGCTCCATTTTAGTAGTAAGTTTAATTGTAATTTATGTAATTCAAAGCAAGTCTGTTGGAAGTTACTGTGCGGACATGAGTAAGGCACCGTTCCGATCAAAGTTCAACTGGGCAGTCAAAGAAGGTGATTCAACCCGGCAGATATCGTACAACATACAGGCCAATGAAACTTCCAATACGTAAGTTGTTGGCTACCCCTGCAAAATATTGTCCATAAGGTCTAACAAATAATAAGTCATCCCCTTTCTGCGACAGCATTCCCCAGGAGAAACTGCTCAATCCGGATGCCTGCCTGGTGCTGGAGCCAAATAGTGACCGGGAGCCGTGCGAGCAATCCATCAGTGTGAATCCGATGTACCAGGTGATAAAACTGGCCATACTAGCGGAATGCAGCAGAATTGAATCCTACGTCGGAAAAATTCCAGAATACAACCAAACCCACAGCGGTCAGCTGGTGTTCGCTGACGGATCGCAGCTCTATCGGTTCGATGTGCAGTTCGAGGTTTGCGGAACCGCCGAGTTCATTCTTCGGTACATTTCCCCTCGCAACGAGCAGCTTTGTCTGTACGGACTGCACCTGGTACTGGAGAAGAATTCCAATCCACTGGGAATGTTCGCCAGCGATAGTACGCTGAACCGGGCCATGATCGATCTCCGGGTGGACGATTCCAAACTATCTGAAAGGGCGGCTCGGTGCAAGGAATTCCTGCTATCAACGATGACTTCAAGCAGCAACAACCTGAGCAAGTACAAATCGTTCCAAAATATACTCAACTACAACATCGCAAACGCAGTCTCCGTCGCATCCGGATCGACGAGTGGTACCGGAAGCAATGTATCAAGGCCAACGCCACAAACCACCGGTGCCGATCCCGGAGGTACCTCAAGTGCTCCTCGGGGACCTTCGTTGAGTGAGGCAGTAGCCAAACAGTATATAGACGGTAAATTTGCAGCCCTCGAAGCCAAAATCGATGCCAGATTAGAAGCGCTGGAATCTCGCCAGAACCAAAAGCTAGATGAAATGTTGGCTCTTTTGAAGAGTATTAGCATGAAATAAATAAATAAGTTCGCTTTTTAGCATAAGTTATCAAATTTATGTATTTATTTACTGAAGCACACACGGGACATAACAAAGTTTCATTTATTTTCTTATCTAAACAGTTCTATCCCAACGCAGTATAAGAATCACTGGATAACTGAAAACATTTATGGTTTATGATTCACTCCAATGCTTATGGAATTGTACTATTTTTACACCCCCAGCTAAAGGGACTATATATATATAAATATATATATATATATATTGTGCGCGTTAAGGCACAAATTGCAACCTAGTTCCTGTAGATGTCTAGAATGCGATTCACTCTAGTTTGAGTGTGAGGGACAAAGGACTGCAGCATTAGTTGACAAATTACAACCATTTTAAAACACACCTTTCATCGTAGGTTAAGTGGATCGGTAATCGAAGTTTTTATGGAAAAGTTCACCGTTGAGTTCGACCAGAAGTCGGTAGTATTCAGTCATCAGCTTCCGATCTGAAAAGGATAAAATGTAAAATTATTATTTTATTTTTTTCATTATAGGTTCAACTATATAATTCAAATTCAATCTTTTTCAATTTACATATAAATCACTTGATTTTCAACCCGTCATACAATCAGCGCTGGTGAAGCGACTGAAAATTCCAGTAAGCTTTAATTCGTATCGTTTAATTGGTTTCAACTAAATTAAAGGGTGGAACGGTCAAAAATTGGTCGACAGAAATTTGGTGAATATTTTTATACGGAATATTGCCTCTATTTTGTTTTTTTTTTTTCATTTACCATTCAGTTATCAAAATGGCGAATCAAAAAACCAAACCAAAACCAGGATGTCGCAGCGACCGGTAAAAGAATGGTCAGCGTTTTCAAGCGTAATCCTAACCTTTCCATCAGAGATGTCGGAAAGAAGCTGGGAATATCACACACAATATCAAGCGCAAAGAACCAAGAAACTAGACGGACTGTCAACATACAAGGTTACAGTGGCACCCAATCGAGATGATGAGCAAAACACCACGGCCAAATCAAGAGCACGTAAGTTGTACACGACATTGTTGACCAAGATTGATTGCGTCATAATGGACGATGAAACATACGTGAAGGCGGATTTCAAGCACCTCCCAGGTTAAGAGTTTGACACGGTCAAGTTTTAAGAAACACAGTTATTCCGTGCTGTTTTGGCCAGACCTCGCTTCCTATCACTACGGGAATATGGCTCAGGAATGGTATACCGCCAACAACGTCCAAAATTGATATAACAGCGGTACAAAATCTGATGGATGGTGTGAACCGCAAAGCCCGGCAGTTCGCATTTGGAAAGTCGGAAGCCTAATACAATAATATTCCTGGATTTTGTAGCCGTTGAACCACCGACAAACCGACATGAATGACCATAGAAAAAACAATAACATTTCTGACCAAAGCACACTACTGACATCTGGCTTCGTGTTCGCGGGAAATATTTAGCTAAGTCATGAACCCGCATGCAAAAGTTATGAATTGGTTCGTGTCTGATCTATTCTGGACAAATTATTTTTATCTAGATCAAAAAATCTTGTGGTTTTGACAGTTCGGATCACTGCACATTTAAATCGGCCGTTTACGATTTTCGAGCATAAGTCAGAATTAAGTGTCATGTCGGATTTGTCGGTGGTTGAACTTCAAAAAGAAATAAAGTTTGATCATTTATATAATAACATAATCAGTGTGCACTTAATTATATTTGACCAGTTTTTGACCGTTTCACCCTTTGCCTTGAACTTTGACGAAACATGAACATTTTATGCATCGGTCTGATTTAAGGTTACGAAAAAAAGTTATAGAACGTATATTCGTTATAAATCTGGTAAAACAGTAGAAGTTCAAGTAACTTCATCAAAAAAGTACAGGGAAATTCATCTATGTCCAGGAACCTTCATCCCAGAAGTTCAAGAAACTGCATCCAAAAAGATCAAGCAACGCAATACAAAAAGTACAAGGAGCTTCATGCAAGAAGTTCAAAGAAGTACATCCAGAAAGCTCAAGGATCTTAGGCCAAAAAGTGCATGAAACTTCAACCAAAAAAGTTCAAGGAGCTTCAAAAAGTTCAAGAACCTTCATTCAAGAAGATAATGACACTTCATCTTAGACGATCAAGGAGCTTCATTCAATAAATAAAAGAAACTTTATCCAAGAAGTGGACAGCTTATAGAAGATAAAAAACTTCATCCAAGAATAAATTCAAGAAACTTCACTCAAGGAACTTCATCGACGGAGCTCAAGAAAATTCAAACAAGAATCTCAAGGAAATTCATCCAAAAAGCTCAGAACCTTTATCCAATAAATTCAAGCTGCTTTATACAGAATATCAAGAAGATCAAGAAACTTCATCCAAGAAGCAGTGGCGTCGCGTAACCTCACTTTTTACCTGTTCAACAACTTTGAAAACGTTATTTAGGGTCTTGTTTACGTTCCAATCAGTTTCAAAGGGCGTAGGGTCTTCTAGTTTCACTGATTCGTATGCATTGGACAAATATTGTGTTGTTTGTTTACGTTTTGAGAGTTGTTGAACAAGTAGATTGAGGTTAGGACGACGCCACTGCCAAGAAGTATCAAAAACTTCATCAAAGACAATTAGGCAACTTCATTCAAGAAGTATTCATTGGCTGGTAAACGACTTCGCGTATCTGCAGGTATAAAATAGACCCCATTAGCGGTCCTTTGCCTCTACCATAGTAATCATAGGGAAGATCGGGTCCAACCCCGGTGGGACCTTGGTCGTATGCTGACAGGGAAGGCCCCCGAATCCTCTCTCCGGAGAGTGCAGTCTTCGAGCGTCTGTTCACCATGGAGGTGCGGCGCAAAACGGCGTCTGTTCTCCATGTATGGAGCGGCTGATCAACGTTCTGGTACCAGCGTGGGACTCTAAACAGTGCTGTGCACGATGGTCCCCCGGCGAGACAAAGGGGGTTGGTGCAGGCCCTACAAGCCAGCCGTAAAAAAAAACAAAAGTACAGGAAGCAAGCAAAGTAAATACGGACCGGAACAATCGGCATTGACCCAAGCAACGGAAACGGACTAACGATTACAAACTCGAAACATGGAACTGCAAGTCTCTCAATTTCTTGGGAAGTACCCGCATTCTTTCCGATTTATTGAGGGTCCGCAAGTTCGACATCGTAGCGCTGCAGGAGGTTTGCTGGAAGGGATCGTCGGTACATACGTATAGGGATGGTAATACCATAGAGGTAACTCTAAGACTAGTAGGTCCCGAAAAAAGGTGCTCAACTCTTTGGCTCAGCTCTGGTACTATCTTCGGTCCCAAGCTAATCGATGCACCCCTCGAAACATAGGAAAATCCATGAACCCCTCATTTTATCTGTCAAACTTTGATAGCGAATTAAAACAAAATATTGTAGTACTAGAATTTCGACTAGAATGAGGTACGTTAATGGATTTGCTTGGGACCAATAGGCTAGTCAAGTAGTGAGCCATTTTAAAATCGTTAGTTTCGTATTGATTGTTGGTACAGCTTTCATCGTGATGGGCGAAATGCAGAAGCGCATGATTGGTTGGTGGCCAATCGATAGCAGAATGTGCAAGTTGAGGATCAAGGGCCGTTTCATCAATGTCAGCATAATCAACGTGCACAGCCCCCTCACGTAGCAAGTGACGATGACGATAACGATCCTACGCGCAGCTGGAACGGGAATACGACAGCTGCCCAAGCCATGACGTCAAAATCGTCTTCGGAGATCTTAACGCTCAGGTCGGCCAGGAGGAGGAATTCAGACCGGTTATTGGAAAGTTTAGCGCTCACCAACTGACTCATCGATTTCGCCGCCTCTAAGAACATGGCCATACGTAGTACCTACTTCCAGCATAGCCTCCCATATCGGTACACCTGGAGATCACCGCAGCCGACAGAATCGTAAATCGACCACGTTTTGATCGACGGAAGGCACTTCTCGGACATTATCGACGTCAGGACCTATCGCGGCGCAAATATCGATTCGGACCACTACCTTCTAATGGTCAAAGTGCGCCAAAAACTTTCCGTTGCCAACAACATTCGGTACCGACGCCCGCCACGGTACAATCTGGAGCGACTGAAGCTGCCCGAAGTCGCAAACTGAGTACGTGCAATGCCTCGACGCAGCGTTGCCGGATGAGGGAGAGCTCACCGAAGCCCCTCTTGAGGACTGCTGCTGAAGGCGCCGTTGGGTTCGTTGAGCGGAATCGACGGAACGATTGGTTCGACGAAGAGTGTCAGACGGTTTTCGACGAGAAGAACGCAGCGCGGGCGGCGGAACGGCAAGGAAACCGTCATAATGTGGAGCGATATAAACAGAAACGAAGACGGCAAACCCATCTTTTCCGGGATAAGAAGCGCCACCTGGAAGAGCTGGAGTGCGAAGAAATGGAGCAGCTGTATCGTTCTCAAGAAACACGCAAGTTCTACAAGAAACTCAACGCATCCCGCCAAGGCTTTGTGCCGCGAGCCGAAATGTGTCGGGATAAGGAAGGGGGTATCTTAACGGACGAACGCATTGCAGCACTACGATGAACATCTGAACGGCGCAGAGGCGGAGGACCAAGGCGACAGGAGGTTCCCCCAATAGGTGAAGTTAAGGATGCTATCCGATAGCTTAAGAACAACAAAGCAGCTGGGAAAGATGGTATCGGAGCGGAACTTAGCAAAATGGGCCCGGATAAATTGACCACCTGTCTGCACCGACTGATAGTCAGGATCTGGGATACAGAACAGCTACCGGCGGAGTGGAAAGAGGGAGCAATATGCCCAGTATATAAAAAGGCGACAAACTAGAATGTGAGAACTATCGAGCGATTACTATTCTTAACGCGGCTTACAAAGTGCTTTCCCAGATCATCTTTCGCCGTTTATCGCCGCTAGCAAGCAGATTTGTGGGAAGTTATCAAGCCGGTTTTGTGGACGGGCGATCGACAACGGACCAAATCTTTACGTTGCGGCAGATCCTCCAAAAGTGTCGTGAATATCAAGTCCCTACGCACCACCTATTCATCGATTTCAAGGCCGCTTATGATACTATTGACCGTGAAGAGCTATGGAAGATTATGGACGAGAACGGGAAGCTGGCCAGACTGATCAGGGCTACGATGGATGGTGTACAGTGCTGCGTGAAGATATCGGGTGCGTTATCGGACACGTTTGAAACTCGCTAAGGACTTCGACAAGGCGATGGTCTTTCCTGCCTCCTGTTCAACATTGCGCTAGATGGTGTTATGAAACGTGCGATCTTCACGAAGTCCAGCCAGTTCATCTGCTTCGCTGACGACGTGGACATTGTCGGAAGAACGTTTCAGGCCGTGGCGGAGCAGTACACCAGGCTGGATTAAAGGTGAATACGTCGAAGACAAAGTATCTGTTAGCTGGCGGAACCGAGCGAGATAGGGCTCGCATAGACAGAAGCGTGACAATCGACGGAGATGAGTTCGAGGTGGTGAATAAATTTGTGTACCTCGGACCATTGGTGACGTCAGATAACAACTGCAGCAGAGAAAATCGTCGGCGTATTATTGCCGGAAGTCGTGCTTACTACGGACTCCACAAGACCCTGAGGTCGGGTAAACTTCACCTCCGTACTAAATGTACCATGTACAAGACGCTGATAAGACCATGTACAAGACGCTGATAAGACCATGTACAAGACGCTGATGGACGATGCTCGAGGAGGACCTGCAAGCACTGGGTGTTTTCGAAAGACGAGTGCTTAGGACCATCTTTGGCGGGGTATGTGAGAACGGTGTATGGAGGCGAGGGATGCACCAGAAAGTGGCGAAAGCTGGACGGGTACGATGGGCGGGACACGTTTTAAGAATGCCGGACAACAATGCCGCAAAAATGGTGTTTTCCTCGAATCCGGCCGGTACAAGACGAAGAGGAGCACAGCGAGCAAGGTGGTTAGACCAAGTGGAGCAGGATCTTGGAAGTGTGGGACTGTCAAGAAATTGGAGACAAGCAGCCACGGACCGAGTGAATTGGCGTAACATTGTGATGCAGGTGCAATCCTGAGGGATGTCGGATAAGTAAGTCATTCAAGAAGTTCAGGGAGCTTCAGCCAAGAAGTTCTAGGAACGTTATCCAAGGTTCAGGAAACTTCATTAATGAACTCCAAGAAATTCAAGAAGTAAAGAGAACTTCAAACACGAAGCTCTGGGATATTTATCCAAGGTTCAGAAAACTTCAGTCGAGAAGCTCAAGAAAATTCATACAGGAAATTCATCCAAAAAGCTCCAAAAAATATCCAAGATTTTCAAGAAACATACTTCACCCGAGAAGCTCGAAAGAACTTCATCTAAGAGATTCAGAGAACTTAATTCAAGCAGTTCAGGGAACTTCATCCTATCCCCATATAGTTTATCAAATTTGTGGATACACATCCATATCAATTATTTAAAAAACCAGAAAATCTTATATTTATCCCACTCATTCACGGTGTCGCTGGTAGGATAACAATATTATAAACAATAGGATTACAAACGAAATCATAGGTGACCCTCTTTCGTTTGAGGCTAGTTTCAAAGTGATCCGAGTGTTTCTTCCAGAGACACCGTGCATTCCTTATCTTTCGCTACGCAACCCTATTAATGTGCTTTGCAAGATATCTTGAACATCCCTATTTATCCTGCTGTCTATTCAGATCTATTATTTTCTTCCCACTCACGCTACCATGCCTGTTTCATCCAATAAACTTAGGAACTTCATTAAAGATCCTCAAGAAAATTCAAACAAGAAGCTCAATGAACTTCATCCAAAACGTTCAAGAAACTTTATGTAGAGAACTTCATAACATCGAAGAAGCTTAAGAAACATCATCCATGAAGCTCAATGAACTATAACTAAGCAGCTCACAAAACTTCAGATCAATTTATGGAATTTTATTCAAGAAGTTATGAGAACTTTATCCAAGAATTTTAGGGAACTTCATCCTATCAGCTCATGAAACTTCAACCAAGAAGCTCAGGGAACTTCAACCAAGAAGATCAGGGAATATGATGCAAGAAGCGAAATACACCTCAAGTAACATGGAACTTTGGGTTTTCACATTTCAAAGAACGTCAGGAAATTTCAAGGAATTCCAGACAAGTTTTCAATGAAGACATATTCAGAGAGCTATAGACAAGTGTACAGGCAGCTAGTTATTGATCGACTGATTATAATATCGAACAGTATTCTGCAGTAGTTGTTAAAATTTTAGCCCTCGTCTATCAGAAATGAACAAGCTAGGCAAGCAGTTATTTAAAAAAAAATCATCTCTCAAATTTAATTGAAAATTCCTGTTGGACCATAGCCTAACAGATGTATTCAGGGAACTTGAGCCAAGTTCAGGAAAATTGAGATAAGTTTTCAGTGAACTAGAGACAAGTTATCACGGAACTTCCGTAATGTTTTCAGGGAACTTCAGACAAGTTTTCAGGTAACTTCCGTGATGTTTGCAGGGAACTTGAGAGAAGCTTTTAGGGTACTTGAGACAAGTTGTAAGGGAACTTTAGACAAGTTTTCATGGAACTTGAGGCAAATTTTGAGGCATCTAGAAAAAATATTCAGGGAACTTTCGAGAAATTTTCAGAATTATTGTATGTCTTAAGGTTTTTAGGAAATTTCAGATAAATTATAGACATTGGACTGAAAATCATGCGGACATGATCCACGGAAGGCATTTACAATTTGCTCCTCTATGCATTTTCTCGGGCTCTTTGACGATTTTGCTTAATATTAATGGACAAAAAAAAAACGACAAGAAATCCACGCCATTCGTAGACTGGTCACATCCTTTCAACCCGTGAGCTTTCAAAAATAACACTTATAATAAAATAAATATAATAAACAGCCCAGGACTCACTTGCCATCCGGGTCGAAGCAATGCAACTGCTTACGCCACACCTTCACCACTCCATCCCAAGCCCGGCGGCTGTATTTAATGTGCTTCGGTGGCGTCTTTGGGTGATCCTTGGTGCGTTGGTCCCTATCGAAATAAAATACCCACCGCCATTAACACACGCACAACCTGAACAAAATCAAGAAACAAAGCAAACCCACCTCGGCACCTGTTCCAGATAGTTCTCATAGCCAAGCGTATTTTTGCCGTAATCGATTTGCTTCTGACGACGCTCAAGGATGGCTGAATCCTTTTCGAATTCGATCGGTTTGCGACTACTTTGGCTACTGCCATCGCCCGAGCTGGAAGAACTTTCCCGCCGGAAACGCTCCTGACCGTGACAGTTTTCGTCGGTTTTGGTCTTCTTGTGCTGCGGTGTTCCATCGCCACTTGTCTCCACATCGTCAAACTTGGCATGGCCATCGCCAGTCTCGTCGTCCTCACCACCACCGGAAAGGCGCCGCTTGAATGGTGACTTAATCTTCTCATCGCGAATCAATTTCTCGTATTTCTCCACGTTGGCCGAATCTGAAAACAGACAAATACCCTTTATAACCTCAAAACAATAACTCATCCTAAGTAGACTTCTTTACCGAGAATATCTATTTCAATTTGTCGGCCGGAGCCGCTAGATCGAAGACTGACGTTGCTGTTGCTGCTTTCATCCATGGACATCTTGCTATCCGATCCAGCCAACTCCGAGCCCGATTTGCACTGCTTCAGTTCGCCTATCTTGTCTTGCTATCGAAGTACAATTCAATCAACACAAAACAATAGACCGACGCCATCAATTATGTGCCATGCACATGTTAGCAAACAAGTACTTACCGAATTCAGGTCTACGTTAGCCTCTGCTTCAACTATATCGACCCAACTTTGACTGCAGCTAACCTTTGGTGGTCTCCTAGATTCTCCTTCCGGTTTCCATTCCGGGTTAAAATCCTTTGCAATACTAACGCTGGTGGATAATGCTTCCGTCTCTTCGTCGAGGAGACAACGCTCCTTCGTTGACAGTGATGACGAGATGTTGTTTGTTGTCGGTGTTGTTGTTTTATTGTCGCTTGTGACCGGCTTGCAAGGTGACAAATTTGACAGGTCGCTGTCCATCGACATTCGGGAGTCCTCATATGCCAGCTTTAGCGCGCCAAATGAAAATAACATTTTTCCAACAATTTTTTTCGTAAAATGCTTTAGGTATACTTACAGCCATTATGTCTATATATCTTATATCGTATATTCGTAAATCTTGAACCGCTAACAGTTTATTTTCCGAAAATAGACCTCTGTATATCGTCAATCGTTCAAAGCGTCCGTAGTCCGAACGGAAGCTCCGCTACAAACTTCACCCAGTCCGTATTATATCTCGTTCAAAGCACAATAAAACATTCAAATATATATATCTACTAAGTAGGAAACAAATCGTCCTGGTCGTCAATCAGTATCGGGAAACCAATAATAAAATAAAAGGACAATATCCGAGCTGGAACCACACCACCACACGATTAGCGCTGGAACTGGAACAGGGAAGGCGACTGAAGCCACTGCACTGTCTGCAGTCCGGAAAATTGCGCGCGGAAAAGAAAAATATGTAAACAAATTTTTGGGCAAAATTGATTTTGAAAGTGGCTCATTAAAACACGGTTACTTGAAATAACTCAAAGTTTGACCGTCAGTTGAGCGAGACCCTCAGTACTAATACACGGAGAGAAAAGTATGGTAAAAACAACCATATTTTAGGTTGCTTCAACCAAATTTCCATGTTGAAAGTTACACAAACATATCTCTAGTTTACCCTGACAAACTTTGATGTTTGAAATAAACTAAAATGTGAGGTTGTTTATTGTTTCTGTTTCCAACCTAAATTCAACAAACATTTGTTTTAAATAACCATAATGTTGGTTGTTTGATTTTGACAGCTGATAAAACATAGGTAAATTCAAACAAATCATATAGTGTATTCCAAACAAAGTTTAGTTCAATGCCAACTAATTCGTTGGTTGAAATAAACAACGAAATGCTACAACTAACCAACGATCTATTTGATACAACCAACATTTTTTTTATGACCCCTGCTGTATTTTAGTGTTTTCTTTCATATATCTAGACTGCCAATGGAAGCAAAACAGTCATATTCCATAGATCATGGACAGTTGAAGATTTTACTGGGATTTATTTTATTAATTAGACATGAGATATTCCTTGGCAAATACAATAATGTTTTTATCATATACATTTCTGTTTCTCTTCTAAGTTTTGAAATAGCTACTTTTTCGTAATCCGGATGTAAAAAGATAACTCCACAAGATAAAAGTTTTATACCCCGTTCACATTACAGCCTATATCACATAATATAGGCTGTCTTGCAATGAGCACTCATACATAGGATTTCCAGTGAAAACAAGATGTGTATACACTCATTCACGGAGAAGAATGAATCTAGTTTGAAACAACAAAAAATATGGTTGAAGTTCAAACAAATATTCTTGTTGAATCAAAGTCAATATTTGTTTGTTGCAAACCAGTGAGTTAATTTGAAATAAACGACTTTATCACCTGGTTTCTACCCCTGGGGGGTATAGGGTATAGTTATTTTCAAACATAAACAGATTTGTTTAAACCAAAACTTAGGTTGTTAGATACGTACGTATAAGAACGTAATCAGTAAAATTAGTGAATACTCGCATAAATAATCTACCTCAAGGCAAGAAAATATGTTTTCGGTAAAGTTTCGAGAAGAAAACCATTTACAAAGGACGATTTGAATGACTTGTTACTGATCTAAGAGGCTGCTGCAGCATGATGGTAATACCACAAACGAAGTTACAGACGACTAACTGGCGAAGAAATCCATTAAAATAATGTGGTTCACTGTAATAGAATTTTCTTGGAAGCTTGTGCCATCATCCACCAGATGGGTTAGTTTTTTTTGTTTTGATTTGAACAAAGTTGATTTTGTGTACAATGATTCTTTGACAAAATGCAAAGAGTGCGTATCATTTTGTCATTTTTTTATGTATTTCAGTTTTGAGTAGAGTGAATGAGATAGAACCAAAACATTCTAGTACATTTGGTGAAAATGCTAGTTCAATCTAATAGTAGTGTTGCCATGTGGTACAAGACAGTAGTAGTGGTGTTGCCATGTGGTACACTGAAAAATTGCAATAGCAGGTTAGTCACCAAAGTTTTCGAGCCGCTCCGTCTGTCACTTCGTTTGTGGCAATACCAACCAGTGCTGAGATTTGTCATTGTCATTGACAGACTTTTGCGCGATATTGACAAAATTGTTTTTCACAAAGTCAATGATAGACTTGATCCTCAAAAAAATCTTTGTCAAAATCTCATTCATTTTTTCGTCAATGACAAAGATTCACCTGGTAACAGAAAGTGTAATTTCTTGCATTCTGAGACACATTATTGTTATTCAAGCTGTTCAGGACGTAGATGCTTATTCACTTTAATGGCTCCATGTAATTGTTTTGCTCAAGCCATTTATTTTCATTTCAAATTTAGCTAATAAACAAATCAGCACATGTTCGTCACTGACAAAAATGCTACTGACAATTGACATGGTTTGCCTTGACGATGACTGTTAGCTCAAACGAGTGACCAAAGCAGAATTTTGAGTATCACCGTGTATTGTCGAAATTTTGCAGCACTGATACCAACAATCAATACGAAACTAACGATTTTAAATTGGCTCACCACTTTAGTAGCCTATTGGTCCCAAGCAAACGATTAACGTACCCTATTCTAGTTGAAATTCTATTACTACACTATGTTTGTTTTGATTCGCTATGAAAGTTTGACAGATAACATCAGGGGTGTGTGGATTCATGCAGAACATGCAGGGGTGAGTGAAATAGCTTGGGACTGCTTGGGACCGTTGTTCTGGTACTGAGTGAGCCAAAAATAATAATGATTTTCTTCGGGACCCAGTGGTCTTAGAGTTACCTCTATGGTAATACCCCGTTCAAATTACAGCGTTTATCACGTGATATACGCTGTCTTGCAATGAGCACTTATACATCTAGTTTTCACTGGAAATCCTATGTATGAGTGCTCATTGCAAGACTATATTATGTGATATATAGAGCTTTACTTCAAAAATGAGAACCAGTTTGATTCTAATGTAACGTTAGGTTCTGTTGTCATTGGATTTATTCTGATGTTTTATGCGTGCAACAAATTACATCGTGATGAAGTTTGATTCTAATGTAACGTTTGGTTCTGTTGTCATTGGATGTATTCTGATGTCAAATTTTACATCGTCAAGACGTTTGATTCTGATGTAACGTTTGAGGCTAATGTATTTTTATGTACTTGGACGTCACACTGAATTCTGAATACATTAAGGGTACAGCAATACACGTTAAAATTTAATGTATTGAAGATGTCTGCTGATGTTTCCTACATTACAATTTCTATTCTGGTTTCCTCTTGCTTCCATCCCTCAAAACGACGATAACAAAAGGAAAGCGGTGATTACGACGAGTGCTTTGGGAAACGCTCCCTTGACAAGGCAATCCCAATACCACTCTATGGAAACGGCATTCTTTACGACGTCTTCCTGCAGGAGCTACATTGTTCTCCATGAGCTTAAGTTCCGAAAATGCCGTCGACCCGAGGTTGGACCGAATACCTTCTTTTGATTCCTTTGACTAGGACAAAATTTGCAATGGTCATTTTAACAATGTATTGTTTTGATTTTTTTTTTTTTTTATAAAATATACTCGGAAATATATGAATAAACATTATTTTTGAAAATCATGCAAATATGAGTTTGGGTACTTTTTTAAATCTTGAAAACTATTAATCTGATAATATTTCAAATTTGAGATAAAAACATATATTGTCATGATAAAAACGACTCCTTTTGAACTGAAACAGTTTGTACTTCATTTTAAAAACATTGGTTTTCCTTTTGACAGTTCTACAATTTGATTCAAAAGCTTCAACCTCGGCTTCAACTTTTTTTAACGAGGACTTAAACTTTTGATTTGACAGTTTACACATTTTTATGATAAATGCTTCGAACTTTTCACCAAAAAGAACCAACGAAAACTTTTAATCCTAACCATGGTATTTTTCATTTTTTTTTAACGATTTTTTTGTGCTTTGGTACCAGCCAGTGTAGTCCAATAATTGCTAAATAATTAAATAAATTAAATAATAAATAATAAAAATTATTTGGTAATAAGCGCGTTTTCACTTATTAAAAAGTGTGATAAAACTGCAAGTTTACGTCTAATCGTCTTGGTGTTTTTGGTGCACTTATTCCTTATGATGCAAGCAATAAATGCTCCGAAGACATTAAAACGATTTGACGGAAATGTGCACCCGCATAAACGCGAACCATAAATTGACCTTACCCAAAATGGTTAAAAATTGTTTATAATCCCTGCTAAACTTTAACTGAAATGATTATGGAACTTTACATGAACGTTTAATGATAAAGTTTCAACCTTATGTATTATGGTTTTTTGGAACTGGACCTTACAAATAATGGGTTGTTAAGAACCATTACCGTTCCAAATTCTTGTTTTCTCCCGAGTTTTCTCCATACATTTTCGGAAAGAGAACTATATTAGAACCTTTTAACTTATGGTTTGAGAACTTTAATGGTAATGTTTATGGTAGTCAGTAAGGTCCACGAATGGTTTTGTAACATCGATCAACTTTATGTGGAATATATCGCGAATTGGTTGCCTGTAATTTTCTGATTACCAATTCACGATATATTCCACGTAAAGTTGAGCGATTATACAAAACCATTAATGGACCTTACTGACTACCATAACCATAACCATTAATGTTCTCAAATCATAACTAAAAACGTTCTTATATAGTTTTCTTTCTGAAAATGTATGGAGAAAACAAGAATTTGGAATGGTAATGGTTCTTAACAACCCATTATTTGTAAGGTCCAGTTCCAAAAAACCATAATACATAAGGTTGAAACTTTATCATTAAACGTTCATGTAAAGTTCCATAACCATTTCAGTTAAAGTTTAGCAGGGATTATAAACAATTTTTAACCATTTTGGGTAAGGTCAATTTATGGTTCGCGTTTATGCGGGCACTTTTATCACACTTTTTGCATTTTTGGGACTGTCCAGTTTCAGATGCAATTAAATGAAATTGTGTGGTTTTCCACTCAATTCAGAGTATTTTCGAACGAGCGTGCACATCATCGGCATCATCATCATCGCGCGTGTCAAAATATCAAAACAATCTCGCTGTGGGTTTTGATTGTGGGGGAGTTGATTGTTATCAAGGCTAGTAGTTTTACTGAAAAAAAAAAGTGAAACCAAATCCACGAAGAAAAGTATGGAGCTGGAACCTAGCAAAGTGGTAGACTTTCACTATGAGTTCACAAACTACGACGACAAGCCGGCCAAGCTTATCTATCCGGTCGTAATCCCGTACCGCAACAGCCCGGACGAATTAGCTCATCGGATCGTAGCCGAGCGGATGGACTCGATTATGAAGTTTTTGCAAGCCGATAAAGATCTGAAAGTGTCATTGAGGCAGTTTATCGAAAAGGAAAACCAAAACTTTTACGACGAAAGAGATGAGATACTGGTGGAAAAGTTGAGAACTGGTCATGTGGACGTCGATGCACTGGCCCTGGACTTGGAGAAACTGTACAAAGATGAGATATTGGAATATGCCGACCGGGTCGGACCATCTGATGAGGAAATATTTGCCCAAAGCTACCACCAGTTAGTGCACTCATCGTTACTGTCGGAAATCTTGGCCAAGGAACGGGACTATGCTAAAACCATTACGAATCTAACGGCGCAGATGACCCAGCAAATCAACACTATGAACACGCTTCATCAGGAGGAAATAGAATCGAAGATGAAGTTGTTGGACATTTCCGTGACTTCGGAAAACATCAATCACATTCTGGCGAAGCAGTATAGCATGCAAAATATGATTCGCAAACAGTGCGAATCGGAACTGGAATCAACCAGAGGGCACCAAAAGTACGAGTACCGTGAGTGGATTACGACTCATATTGATGCAAACTTTCTAGCCGAGTCAGACAGTCCAACTCAGATCGGGAACCGTTGGTCGATGATTTCGACCCAAGGACCGTCGATGGAGGAAAGCTTCACCATCCACTTGGGTTCGCAGTTGAAGCATATGCATAATATACGTATTCTGAGCACTAAGATCTCCGACTTGTGCAGTCCGTTGTATAGCGATACTAGCTTTGGAGGTCCGAATGTGGCATTGGGATTGTACTCAAGCTCGCTGTGCGGTATCGTGGTTCTGACACCATCGGGAAATGTTTCACCAGATTCGGAAATCCGTCGGTGTGCCAACATGTCCACTGAGTTTCACTTCGATCAGGTTGATCATCAGATCGAAAAGATTCAGGAAGATCTCCAACAACTGCGGGATAGCACCGATGAACAAGACATGGGCGGAGGTAGTCGTTCGGATAGGAACTCCACCCGTTTGAAGCCGGGCGATGTTTTCATAACTCGTCATTCGAATCTGTCTCATTCGCACGTAATTTTTCATCTGATTTCGGACGAAACGTTCCAAAGTCCAAGCGAGATAAACTCGCGGCATCCGGTGATTATGGGACTACGTAATATTTTGAAGATCTCCAGTCGACACGACGTAACTACACTAACCATTCCTGCCCTGCTGAGACACGACATGTCTGAGGTAATTGTAAACAAGTTTCGTAGCACAGTTCGTTGTTCTGATTGACAATCGTTCTCAGGATATGACCGTTAGTTGGTGTGTGCGGCGGGCTGAGCTGGTATTTAAATGCGCTAAAGGATTCATGATCGAGTCGGCCAGTTGGGGTGGAGCGGAGCTCAATACACTGCAGCTGCTGTTGCCGCACGACATCTCCGAGGAACTGTTCCGCACTCTGGCCGATATGGTACCTCATGTCTTTCGGGTGGCAAATCCGAAGATTTTGCAGTAAAGTTGAGGAACTAATAAAGAGGTAAGTGCAATCATCATAAATATAGGTAATACGGTACCAACGATTTATATACAATCTTATTGAGGCATTTGTCAAAGTTTTGATTTCTTTGCGATGAGAATGAGAAATGAGAACTGATTATGTTAGACATATTCCTGCTAGTACATAAGTCCAACAATACTAATCAACGTTAGCATTGTTTGAGCCTTTCAATATGTAGTGCATTTATCACAGCCTGGCTCTTTATAGATTCATGAGCTTGTAAAATTTGGTGCATCTTTCAAAAACATCTGACACGTCCCTGATCGGCCCTTTATTTCTGACATACCATACGAACAAACAGTAGAAACCAGTAAATTGTTTAAAATATTGTTGCTACAACTCAAATCATGTGTTCTCTATTGCAGATTTCGCACCTCATTAGACTGCTACCTACACAGTAATATTTTAGCACAGGTCAAAAAAATTAAATATTGAACTTGTTAAAGTTTTCTAGAGTATGAATTAATTAGTGTAGCTTGCCAATACTGTTCTGAAGCTGTTTTTAAGTAAGTCGATTTTTCAATTTTCTGGCCTGTGTAAAAATATTAAGCGTAACATTTGAAAACGGCACAAACGTTGTTGTAAACAATAGTTGTAATACCCTTTACACGCGAACCGAAGTGGTACGCCCACGCAAACCAACAACATCATCGGGTAGGGGAAATTCTATCAATATTTTGTCTTTGATAATAGCTTCTGTGTGCTGAAATAGCTGGACAAAATATTGCGATGCAATCAATTATTATTTTGCACGTAAATCGAATCAAAAATAAAAGTCATTTGAAATGCTAGCTTCTAGCAAGGATTATTTAGGAACTACTCCCTGCTGCCGAATTGTATTTTGTTTTCTCTGCCTATCTTTCCCTCTGAATATTTCTAGGATTCATTGATCTAGATAAAAAATATTTTGTCCAGAATAGTTCAGACACGAACCAATTCATAACTATTGCATGCGGGTTCATGGCTTTTCTAAATATTTTCCGCGAACACGGAGCCAGATGTCAGTAGTGTGGTTTGGTCAGAATTTTTATTGTTTTTGCTATGGTCATTCATGTCGGTTTGTCGGTGCACGAGCCACTCAAGGTAGTGTTTTGAGCACGATACGATCAGTTCCAGCAAGTTTTTCATAAATTGCATGAAACTGACATTCTCTTCTTTTGAAATGTCGATATTGAAATTGCTAGTAACAATTATTGAGCCATCATTTGATTTGTAGCGAAACAGTGTTAAGGACGGTTTTGATTTGATGCGTATGGTCGTCGATCGAGCGGAAAGAAATCCATGCCTTTTGTATACTTAGGCAACAGGCCCTGTTGAACAGGGTAGCCTAGATATTAGACGAAACTTCACTCTGGGTGATGGTACCGCCAGACAGCACTTGGCTTAGTTCATCGTCGTTACGGAAAGCCAACAGCATTTGATGAGGGTGTTTGTCTTCTTGTTGTCACAGCCGGCGTTTCCTTCCAACTCAGATATTTCAGTAACCAAGTATACACCTAATCTACTATCCAGCATTTTACGAGCGCTGATGGCCGCCACAATCTAGCTGAGTTCCTGGTAGGGTAGTTTGGCTTGTGTCGTTTGACCTGTAAACGGTCAAATTTGATCGTTTATACGTCAAACGACTTGACTAGCCTATTGGTCCCAAGCAAACGACTAACGTACCCCATTCTAGTCGAAATTCTAGTAGTACACAATGTTTGTTTTGATTCGCTATGAAAGTTTGACAGACAAAATGCGGGGTTCGTGGATTTTCCTATGTTTTGGCCTTGGCCGGTGGCCTTAATTTCCAAGGAGGGTCCCGTCTCGGCTCGACCAAGGTGGCCATGTCCCGGTCAGCCAATGCCGTCAACGACGGAAGACGCCTGCCAGCCAAACGAGCCAGCAACGCCTGCTGAGCTGTATGGCCACCAGATCCGCCATTCTCCCAAAGCTGCAACAACACTGTCTGCAGCTCGCGCCGCAAGTTTTCGGCCACACGGTAGTGCAGGAGCAGCCGTGTGGGCCAACGCCAGCGTCGCGTCGCCGAAGGAGATTTTGCTGCAACAGTGAGTACCGTACCGTTCATAAACTCTCGCATACACGCCACATATATGTGAAAACCAACATCCACACGCCACAGAAAAGGGCAAATAAATGTTAGAAAATGTGAATATTCCTGTGTGTTTCATACTTTGTCCGCGTAGCCCCTCCGAATACCCAGTAACATGCCGGCCCTGCGAAACAGTTCAGGGGTCTCATGCTACTGAACTAGTTACCCGGGAGTGTCTGATCATGCCAAAGTCACAGATTCGAAGGGTGCATCGATTAGCTTGGGACCGAAGATAGTACCAGAGCTGAGCCAAAAAGTTGAACACGTTTCTTCGGCACCTTCTGGTCTTACAGTAACCTCTATGATTGTAGTTCGGGCTCCAGACTGCAGAGTAGATTGACCTAGATTTGTGCCATTAGGTGAGAAATCGACTCTGAAAATTTCAGCTCATTTGGATGCCTGATAATGTTTGCACCATTGAGTAATGTCAAATTAAAAAAAATCTCAAAAATTTTGATTTCGAGTTTTTTTTATTTATTCAAAGGGGGGATGTTTCTCAGAGTCTTAAACTATGTTAATCATCGATCGTGTTTCCACTTGCTACAATTACGGTCTCCACACGGGGGAGAGGTAGCTCATCGATTCTTCCGGTTCGCCTCCTAGCATCGTGCTATAAGGTACCAGGCGATAACCAGGGTAGTTGATCGATAGCTCGATGACGTCATTTCGTTGGCGTCTGCAATGGGAAATTCTCATAGCAGGCGTTGACGATGGGACGTTGTCGAGTTGTTTAATAGCAACTATCGTGGTAACTCACCGATTATCTGTCGATCTGCCAAATTTGAAAGACGTGTTCATTGAATTGTCTCATATAATAATATTCCGCCCACTATATCACAAGAAATTGCGAGTAGCTGAGTGGAATGGAGATAAGTTAAGCATTGGGTACAGGACCAAGTCTCCCCTGGGTGGTGCCAAAAGATGAGCGCAATAGAATCATCAAGTTGCCATAAGGCACGGAATGAGACTATTGCATGGCTGGGTAGTCAAAGTCTTTCATTCGTTAGTCATTTCAGGTGGATTAGAACAGGTTTAGGTTTAGGGTGGGCGTTGGCCAGATTTGGATTTTTCAGATGTCATTCTGGATAGGACCCTGTCATTGAACGTCGCGTGAAAGTGGAACTTAATGAAGGCTTAAGTACTTTTTCGGATTTGAAAGATCGTCGGTTACAGTGGCCTGCTTACTGAGCAGAAAAACACGGTCCCAGGTCCTTACATATCAAAGAGATTTATGGTAAAATCGCTTGTGTATCGTGTATTTTGCGAAACTCGTTGTTGTCGTTGGTTCCGGGTTTGAATGGATACACAAATTTGAGCAACGGTATTATGTGATATGAGGGGCTCGGTGGCCTTAGAGCAACCGTTTTTGCTTACTGAGCAGAACATCATGAGTCTAATCTCAGGCCCATCCACATTCAAGATTCGACAATCGTTTTATTTGTTAATATGACTACATGGTAATAACAGCAACTCGGTGATTAAAAAGGTGCTCGTCTGCCTAGTGGCAAACGTTTTTGCTTACTGAGCAGAAGACCGTGGGTTTAGCCCTAAGCTCCTTCGCGTTATATGATAGTTAGGACATCAATTCAGCTTATCGTTTACCAAAACGAACCCTGCTGCAAACCCAACCCTCTTATCCAACATCCCAGTGATTCCTCGTGGAAGTGCAGAGGTGTTCTCGGCTTCCATCAAAGCGAGTGTCATGTCAACACAATCCTTCCCATTCCTTTCTTGACCTGTGTTCGGGCGCGGCCGGCGCTGGTATTGCCTAATTTAAGATCACCAGTTTTTACACATTGAGGATGATTGCTAGTCCCAAGCATCGTCTATTGGTTCTCTGTGTAATTACAGCTGATCTGGAAATAACAGAGTAGCAACCGTGGGCGGTCAATCAAGCTCAAGCTCAAGCTTAAGCTAAAAGCAACCTTATTAGTTCTTTTCAACGAGCGAAGATCTTTCGTCATCCACGGGACGCGAGAGTCGATATATGGATGATCTTTTTGGAAACGTGCCTGTCAATGACATATGCCAAGACGTGAGAAAAGGTTTGTGCAGCAATGTTGACGTCTACAGGATCTAGAATATGCCCCCAATCTAGGTTAGACAGCACATCCCCGACTCGAAAATCAACTATTTCATTCATGTGTTTCACTTATATATTTTTGCCAAAACATTAGCCTTATACATTCCATAAGACAAACCACATAGGTCCTATAAGCATGCATAAAAGGTATGTGTGTCCGCTTATACATTTCATTTGACACATGATATTCATTAACTTTTTGCAAGGCATCTGCTTATTGGTTGACTTCTACATTTTATGAATAATCAGCAATAGAAATTTGCCAAAAGATATAAGGAGATTTCTATCCGTGTGGACAATACTGCGATGATCAGCTCTACGGAAGTCATATGACACAGCGTTTGGAGTGCTGATGAAAGCATGGACAATATTATTTTCGATCACGATAACTAAAGCAGGGTGATGATGCACTTCCTTGACTAAAGGTTCGGGTGCCGTGGAGAGGAAAGGAGCTGTATCACGAGCACTCACAAAGCAGAGATCCAGGTAACTCTAAAGCTGGGTTTAGACAGGGCAAGTCAATTGATCAAGTCAGTTGAATTCAACTGACTTGAACGCGAATTGAACGTGTAAACCATGCCATTCAACTGACTTGATCAACTCACTTGAATTGAACAAAGTTGAACCAGTCTCAACTTTTCAAGCCAATTGAATTCAACTGAGTTGATCATTTGACTTGCCTAATCTAAACCCAGCTTAAGACTAGAAGGTCCCGAAGAAACGTGCTCAACTTTTTGGCTCAGCTCTGGTACTCTCTTCGGTCCCAAGCTAATCGATTCACTCCTCGAAACATAGGAAAAACCACTACCCCTCATTTTATCTGTCAAACTTTCATAGCGGTTCAAAACAAACATGGTGTAGTACTAGAATTTCGACTAGAATGGGGTCCGTTAATCGTTTGCTTGGGACCAATAGGCTAGTCAAGGTAGTGAGTCAATTTAAAATCGTTAGTTTCGTATTGATTTTTGC